CATGATATAATAAAACATAAAATATTTGATAAAGTATAACAAATAACCATTGTATACCTAAATATATTTGCCAGTTCTGAATTTTGTTTTATTTATAGGTGGTCAAATCTTATAGCTCAACTGACAAGGAACAAATGTCCCATATGATATTCATTATGAAGACAACAGTATACTCATATTAATTGAGAATATTATTCTTCTTGAATAATTTTAAAATTTGTTATTTATATTCTTTTTTATGTTTCAAATTCAATTATTATATCTCATCCTGATTATAATTAAATATTATCATATTTTACTGAATTATATTATTAGCATAAACTACAAATTGTGTGCACCTACTTTTTTCTTTATATTACTGTTTTTTTTTTTTTTTTATATTGAATAATTTTATGATATAATAAACCTTTTATACTCAGTGAACGTGGAATGAGTCTTAGATTTTTTAAATTTACTTACAAGTTACAACTGACCAAAATGTACAATACAACATGTTTTGTAAAGTAATAGTTAGTATTTCTATACAATCTGTTGTTTTTGCTTGCAAATAATAAATAGGTACTAATAATAATTAAACATTTTGAATCTTGATATTGAATAAACTCACCAAATAAACTCATATAATCAGGCACAATTTCAACTTTTGACTTGGGGGAGGGGGGGGGGTTGAATATATTAAAGGCATGCAGGCCATTGCAAAATAGCATAATATTAAAATTGTATGTCCTAGGTTTTGGGGAGGGGGCTACCAATTTGCGCCTATGCATATAATATCTACTTATACCAATTTAAATTTAGATATAAATCACCTATTATATTTATAAGCTCTTTATTTGTCAAAATATGGCAAAAATGGTAATTTATATACAAAAATAAAAAAACAAGTTAGTATTTCAAAACCAATATTTCTTGAAAATGTCATCTATAAATTATAATGTATCATTGATATAATTGAATTCAAAACATAGTACATCCTGTTTTTGAGGTAATATCTAAAATATCTTCAAAAAATAAAATGCCAGTTTACCAATTTAGGTGTAGACAGCTTTTATTCGAATCACAATTAATATGTGATATGGGTTCCATATAAATGGATATAAAATTGTTTATAACTCTTCAACCACAGACAGAGTGGACTTAGATTAATGTGAAAAGAATAATTAAATTACACAAAACAAATTTACTAAAACTTTTTTTATAGAAACTGGAGTCAACAAATTATATTAATAACAAATAGCTTAATGAATTTCAAATTATAAGATGTGATTGGGATCAAAGAATATCTGATAGATATTAAAAGTATTGTGGGTCCAGTGGCAATTGTTTGTTTCAAATTATTTTTACTAATACAAGATGGAAGAGCTTTAAATGATTACAAAGAGTGTATCCTAAGAAAATATTATAATTATTACCTTGTCACATTGAAGAAAAAGAATGACACTGAGATTGCCTAATAGTCAAAACAAATATTTAATATATTAAAATATAAAATTTCTAATTTATCCATGGTCTAAATTAAGATAATAATATTAGATGTCAAATATAAATTTTAATATCATTATAACTATAGCTGTGACACCGTGTAGTGTGCTTCTGTTTTTCATTTACAGATTCTGAAGTTCTGAACTCTGAGAAGATCTACTTTACACCGTGGAGCGTGAATTATATGTACTTTAATAAAATCTATACATTGACACATTGTTAGGGACTTAGGTTACATTACAGGGCCGTATTTAGGGATTTTTCGCCCCCGGGCACAATATTTATGGCACCCCTTTCCAACACATTTTTTTTAATACCATAGAAGTGGTGGCTAAATTTTATTTTTTTTTGGGGGGGCATAACAATTTTTAACATAGAACTCATATCAATTATAGTTGATGGAGAATTTTTCATACTTTGAATATAACTTTGAAAATGAACACATTCGTTAATAAATGTTACATCCAAATCTTTTGTATACATTGAGTACAAATGTTCAGCTAAAACACGTACTTCTGATGGTTTTATCTTTGTGAGTCTTAAAAAAAAACTATACTTTGTTATGACATTATCGTAAGCTAACTTTCGACTTGTTAATTCTTCTATTATAGAATCACAAATCACTGAGATCATTGTCTTGAAACCTTTTAGGGCGATTTTGCCGGAGATCGTCAAACACCTGTTTCATTATTTCAGCAGCGGACTGCATTTGGGCTTCGGACGAATTATTCACTTCTGTGATATAAGACATAATGATAATCTGATATAGGATAATTTCAATATATAAGACAATTTTTCACTGTGTTATAATCAGAGAATGATGTAAAAATATATTTGCTGATTTAATAAGAACTAAACAGTTATACGCTGCCCATAGTTACAATATTTGTAATGTTTTTTTAAAACCAGTCAGTGGGGCCCATTATTTTTTATAAATAAATAAATAAAATAATAAATAAAAAAAAAAATAGAGTGTGTTTGTAGTACCTTCGTGCAGGGGAAGTAAAACTTTTTCGCAGTTGATCGTATGAGTTGTGATGTGTAATAAAATATTAAATAGCATATTTGTACGTATTCGGAATCAGTATACCATTTTGTACATCTATAATATTATGTAAGTATTGTATATTAATTGTATTAAATTATGTATCGCTGTACACTGTTTGAATGTATAAACATTACATAATATGTGGTTTTACACATTATAATAATTCACATGATAATAATATAAATACTAATTTAATAATAATTATTTCAATATTTAAAAAGCTTATTCGTCGTAATGAGTAAAATTATAATTACAGTAAACTCAATTTGTGAATAAATAATATCATAATATTATGTGTATTTATGGCTGTGTACATATTTATTTAAATTAGCAGGGTAATATAACTATAGACTCACTCGGACGACTAAGTCCGAAAATACAAAATATTCTATTAAATTGTCATTTATAATTATATAATGTTTTCAAGAAGTAATAAGTATACATTACAAGGTATGATAAAAACTAGTACCTAGTTACCTAGTACCTTTTTTTAATACCATAGAAGTGGTGGCTAAATTTTATTTTTTTTTGGGGGGGGGGGCATAACATTAATTCATTTTTTATGTTTCCCTTTCTCATTGAAATTTAATTTGCAGTTAATTTTTAGCAATTTTAACTAGGTACCTATGCATTCCAATATTAGATTTTTAACAGTAGGTAAACTATAAAAAAAAAACATGAGTAACTAGTTTATAACTTAGGTCTTAGGTACTATCTACCTAGAATCTTCCATGATTCAAATAATAAAGAATGATATACAATTAATAATATGTACTATAATATAGTAATATAATAATATTTATTGTTTATTTTACAATTTTTTTCTTGATTGAATATCACCAAAATGATCTATAATATCTTCATATTTAATTTGTTTTGTTATTTCTGATTCAATATTTAATATTGCATGTAAGTTTAATCTCTCTTTAGAAATTGTTGACCTTAGGTAGTTTTTATTCAGCGTAAAGTTGAAAATGACCGTTCAGCGGTACAGTTTGAACAGGGAGTAGGTACATAAAAACATGTGTAAGCAAAGCAATACTAACACACGGGTAAATGTCTTCTGATCCTTCTATTTTTAACATAGAACTCATATCAATTATAGTTGATGGAGATTTTTTCATACTTTGAATATAACTTTGAAAATGAACACATTCGTTAATAAATGTTACATCCAAATCTTTTGTATACATTGAGTACAAATGTTCAGCTAAAACACGTACTTCTGATGGTTTTATCTTTGTGAGTCTTAAAAAAAAACTATACTTTGTTATGACATTATCGTAAGCTAACTTTCGACTAGTTTATAGTTAATTCTTCTATTATAGAATCACAAATCACTAGATATGTGTTTACTTTGAATTCCAAACTATGGTTTCTACTTTCTCACTATGATCTTCTCTTTAAAGTTTAAACATGGTATTTATTTCGTTTGTTTTTCTTATAACTTTATTAGGTTTTTCCTTCTTTTTTTTTGCCTCCTTACCATTGCATACACCACTAGCTTTGACTCTTTTTAGCTCCATTAAAGTATAATTTCAACTAAAAAATTGTTGTGACACAATTAAACTTATCTAGTCTTACTTATTAATTATTATTTACCTATTTGCAACCATGGCTAAATTACTGCATTCAATTCATATGTATAATGTATAAATATATAAACATATAAATATATCCAATAATTGTATGCAGATTTGCAATGTAATTTAAGTGAACCTAAACTGTGTAATTGTAGTGTACCTACCTTAACTGGCGCAACCTTACAATATCAATTATAAAGTTGAAAGTTTTAATATTATTATAAATAATATAATAATAATAATAATATTTTATTTTATATAACAATTCAAAAAAAAGTAAACTCTTATTTCTATTATATTAGTTCACTTATTGAGATTTAAATTATGTAGGTACGGAGTACGTAGTCACTGACATATAGAGTTTAGCAAGTTGTATAATATGAAATGACACAAATGTATTTTAGTAGCCAGTAAATAAGTACAATCGATAATCCTGATTTGTCAATACGGGCCAACGCAGTTATACTATACGTCTAGTTTTACAGTTTACTAGTAAAAATAAACCCACTAATATATTTTAATAATGTTAGGTACCTACCTACTTAGTTAATAACGTTTATTTCTCTTTATTTAAAATGATAAAATATAGGTAAAAAAAATGTATGCATATGTGAATTTAAAAAATAAATAATAATAAAATATATCATTTTTTAGAAATCTTCCTCTTTACGAAAAAAATTAATTTTTGTTTATTTTATCTGAGATAATTTTGCCGCCCCCAAAGTGTGCCACCCCCGGGCAATTGCCCACCGGTGCCCCTCTTAAAACCGGCCCTGGTAATATGTATAAGTGTATGTATTTTAATTTTTAGTCTATTATACTTGTTTGTTGTCCGGAATCTTAGGATGATATGGTGTTAACGTTTGATATTGTACAAAAGTTTTGGTATGTGGGACAGTATGTGATTCACACCGAACAGAGAGAACACAGAAGCACGTTCCACACATGGGTTCAGGTTCCCTATACGCATTATAGATATTATTAATTTAATGTGTAAAACTCGTGTGTCCAATACGTACTCTGGGGACCATGCATGATTTTTTCGTGTTGGGTGAGATTTACAGTGGTGGATCCAGGAGGGGGAGAATTGCTGTAGTTTCCCTTTGTTTTACACTGTGTTTAGCCAATTTTTGTACTTTTGATACTTTTGCGCACCCCCCCCCCCCTCCGAAAATTAAGCCCTGGATCCGCCACTGGAGATTTATAATTTTATTTTGTTTGTTTGTTTTTCTATATATTAATATATTATATTTAGTACCATACAATATACACATAATATATGTATTGCATTATAATGTCGTACAAGCTGTGATATTATTTTTGGACTTTTGTGATGTATTTTTTTTTCAGACGCCTTCATTTCGTGCATAAATCGTTTTGGGCGACTAGACATCGTCGTCAACAACACGGCTGACATGGAGTTCGACGTATCAATCGACGATCGGGACGAAATGAACGATGCGATCATGCGTGTACACTATGTAGGCATATAATCCACCTGCAAGATAATATTAATTATTATGTATTATAAATAATGATCGTGCACGTGAACGTTGTCTGTATACCTTTATTGGCACACATATCTATATAGGTTCACAGCACCGTTGTTTTTAGATTACTCATAATATATAATTATACAATTGACACGTGATTATAGGGTGGAGTGGTCAGTGGAACGCTTCTAGCAATCAAGTACATGGGAGCCCCGAACGGAGGCAAAGGCGGGACTGTGGTGCAGACCACGTGCTGCGTATCGGCGACAAATAACGTTGTTGGGTACACGAAAGTGATCGGTGTAAGTTTATTGAGATGCAGTGGAGTATGCATGGCGAGGGGGTGGGTAGATCACCCTACACATGGGAGTTGAACCTTGGTTTATTTAGTTGTATGTATTTACAATAATAAATTGTACCTAGGTAAACCTATTGTAAAATTAGAATAAATTAAAAATATTATACTGAAAAAACAAAATTATATAAACTATCAAAAGTTGTATTAAAAAAAAAATGTTTATTCCCTTCTCATCCATTCTTATAGAGCTTATTAGACACACGGCGGCTCTCTAGACGTAATAGGTAGGTACTTAACCTATTAGGTAGGTACATCATGTAGGTTGTAGGTACCACTAAATAATTGTTGATGGTAATACTGATACCGGCGTTCTACAGGGCCATAAATATTTTGGGTTTATAACGCTTTTAATATTTATCGTTTTTAAATAAATTGAAAACGCATATTAAAATATTAGTCATTACTCATTAGGGGGCATAGGTATTAAACAGTTTGTCAATAAAAGTTTAAATAAAAGGCTCTAATAAAAAGCTAGAATTATAATTGCAAAATCGTAGAATATTTTTTATAAATTATCTATATTAACATATTTGTTCATCGTACTCTCAACTTTTTCAAAATTACAGAAATTTAATTATAAATAAGTGTAGCGTAGTGCGTGAAAAAAGTCAGCTGTTTGTATATGTAATAGGTACGCTATAGTATTATATCGTTATAATAAATAATGATTATAATTATAATTCATTAGGAATCATAGGCGTGCCCAGACCTCTGAGTCAGGTACGGCTAAATTCAATCTGATCACCCACCCCCTTGTCATAGTCACACACTCAAACAAGAAAAAAAATTATAGACATTTTCACTACACTCTACAAACTTTTAAGTGACTCTTTTGTTGGTTACAGGAAAATTTAAACAAATCATTTTTCATTATTTGATATTTCACACACACAAAATTCATCAATATTTAATTAAATTCTAACCAAACAATTTATTCAAAAACGTTCAAAGTATAATATAAAATAATAAAATTTGTCAATTAACATTAATAGGTATTTATTTATTATTATTAATTATTCATGGTAAATCGACTTTATGGCTATTAGTTTATGAGATATAAATATTAAAATTTGGATGAGCGGAGAAGTGGACATACATTTTGCAGGATAACCCAGTACCACTTAATTGTAAATACTTATAACGCATAGACTACTCACGTATCACACTAAATTCGATTTTTATGTATCGAAATACTTGGAAAAATATTCTACTTTGGAATATGAAATTTAAACTCTGTCGTCAAAAATAAAATAAAAAATTAGAAGGATAATTTTTTAATAACAAAGTTGTTTTGTAAGCGACTCGAAACTATGTGAAAAATATTTTCAAAAACAATTACACTTTTTGAAATAATGAGTGTTCAATTTTAAATAAATCGCCCAGTCGTATAGTCTCTCGGGTAAACACAAACGTTAACGAAACTATAAAAGGGCTATACCTACGTTTCGTCATGTCTTCATAAGGTACCAACCCACCCACGTATAGAAAAATCTCAGGTAGGGCTAAAGCCCTATCAGCCCTACCCGTGCGCACGCCTATGTTAGGAATGTAAAACTCTCCTTTCGGTTTTCATGAAATAATTCATATCTGCGGAAAATAGAGTTTATTTTTTGAGTTTAAAACTAGGTAGGTTAGGTTAGGTACTATATTATAAAGTTTACCATGTGATACAAAATATAATGATAATATATAAGCAGAGGTGTCCAACGAGATAAGTGCTACAGCAGTACAACCACGCAAGTTATATAATATTAGCGAAAAAAGATTTATCACAAATTCACAATGGAAGCATTATACTAGGTCACAGTATATTCCACTAATTCTTGTATAGGTACCTATCATTATGTTATTTTATCATATTTGTCGTAATGTCGTCATAGTTCAGTCTGCAAAGAATTGAAAACATATTGCACAAACGTATAAATATTAATTTTATTTAAATAAGATTTATAAATCAACTATATTATGATAATATTATTTATTTTATGATATAAAAATGCATTTCAAACGATCCGGGGAAGATAAATAATAAAAAGTCACTCTGCTGTACAGTAGGTTACAAGTGGGTCACTGTAATGGATGGTGTTAAATTTGAATTCAATGATATAATATCATTGTATAGGAAAAACGATTCTGAGCGAAAACGGTCAGTCAGCCTATGATATTATAAAGTATATTTGATGATATTATTGTGAATAAAGTAATTTATATATAACCTATTTACTTGGAACCTTGTTTTAAATTTTTAATAATTAGCTATAAAAGTTGTACATTTCATTCATTTTGAACTAAAAATTATTATTAAATTTTAAATGTAATAAATTTTATCAAAATTCAAATTTTAAATTCTTAAAAAAAAAAATTGTGAATATTTATGTATTTTTAATATTTTTCTGCTGCAAATGTAACAATATATCAGGAGCCTTCTATTAAATGTTCACAATTTAAAAATTAAAATAGTCCGTAAACAGCTCAAAACGTGTCAAATTATTTTCAAAATTTTATCGTGTATAGAAAATGCTATTATAAACATTCAGTGAAATTTTCAAGTATCTTCAGTCAATTGTTTTTTAATTACAACAAAATAAGAAAATTGTTACATGAGGAATCGAGTGAATATAAAATGTTGTGAATATATGAATTTCAAACGCCCATAAAAATTTAATTTGACTTTCTTGTAGACATTTATTTTTGATAATGGTAGACAAATGTATGAGGAATCTCGTATTACATTTTTAAATCCTAGATTTAAAAAGAAAATATTTTATGAATTTCTAACTCAAAATAATTTGGAAATTATCGTCATTTTTACGTATTTTGTCAATATTTAAAGTTTAAATGCTTATAAAAAAAAATTTGTTGCTATGGATTTTTAATATTTTTCATCTGTTTTTGAAACAATATATTAGGAGCCTTCTATTAAATTTTTAAGCTTTTGTACCCAACAAATAACATTTTATTGATATTTATAGAAAAAAAACTAAAAAAAACTGAAACTGAAAATGTCCGTAACGAGCTCAAAATAAGTCAAAATATTTGGAAAATGTTATTTGTATAGAAAATGCAAATATAAACAACCAGTGAAAATTTCATGTATCTACATTCATTTGTTTTAAAGTTACACCAAAAACCAAAATCGATTTTCTCGAAAACAGATTATGCGTAAATATTCCCGTTTTTCCTTAATTTTTCTTTTGTTTTTCAGGGCGCTTTTAAAAACTACTGGAAAATTTTTACTTTTGACCCCCCCAAAGTAGTTTTTAAATGTTGTTTTTAAAATATATCATGGTAGTAGAACCAATTGTTGTACAAACATATATTGTATACTAAACGTAATACTAACGTACAATTAACATTTTAGATTCTGAGTGAAACGATGAATGTATTGATTTTACAATGATGTGTGTTTTTTTTAATTTTTTTATTTAATTTTTAATTTTTAATTTTTTTTTGTGTCTGTAATCACGTTTTAGGACAGTAAAAGTGCTTGGATTTTCTTCAACAGTAGCTTTTCTAATAGAAAAGTGAATCTAGTTGGTACTTTGGGGGGGGTCAAAAGTAAAAATTTCCTGGTAGTTTTCACAAGCGCCGGGAAAAACAACATACAAATAAGGAAAAACGGGAATTTTTACGCAAAATCTGTTTTCCAAAAAATCGATTTTGATTTTTGGTGTAACATTAAAACAAATGAACGTATATACATGCAATTTTCAATGGTTGTTTATATTTGCATTTTCTATACACGATCCAATTTTCAAAATATTTTGATTTATTTTGAACTGTTTAGGGACATTTTAATTTTTCCATTTTTTTTTAGTTTTTTTTCTAAGAATTCGTAAAAATTTTTCTTTTTAAATCTAAGATTTGAAAATGTAATACGAGATTCCTTATAAGATTATCTACCATTATCAAAAAAAAAAATGTCTACAAGAAAGTCAAATTAAATTTTTATGAGCGTTTGAAATTCAAATTTTTACAACATTGGATATTCTCTCGTTTTCTCATGTAGCGATTTCCTTATTTTGTTGTAATTCAAAAACGAATAACTGTAGATACATGAAAATTTCACTGAATGTTTATATTAGCATTTCCTATACACCATACTATTTTGAAAATATTTTGAGCTGTTTACGGACATTTACAGCTTTCAATTTTTTTTTCTATAAATATCAATAAAGTTTTATCTGTTCGGCCAAAAAGTGTAAACATTTAATTCAAGGCTCCTGATATATTGTTACAATAGCAATTGAAAAATATTAAAAATACATAAGCACAATTTTTTTTTATAAGCATTTATAGATCGAATTTTGACAAAATTTATCAAAATCTCGAAAATTATCAATCATTATAATTAATAAATTATAAAATGTTCAGTTTTTATAGCTAAGGATTGCAAATTTAAAACAAAGGTTCTCATAAATAGTTCATACTGTAACCAAAAAATCTAAAAAATATATGAACACAGTTATTTTTTACAGACATTTTAAATTCAAATTTGGACGAAATTACATATTAAAAAACCTAGAATAACTATTTTAGTTATTTTGTTGTAATTGTATAATATTATTCGTGGGTACTTGAAATTTCTAAAGTATATTACTATATATCTAAGATAGTATCAGGGTTTGTTGTTGGTGTATAACGCGTTATAAGTACCTAATGGATATTGTGATATGATTAATTTGGAATTCATTATAGGTCAATTTTTTTTAATACCATAGATAAGTATATAATATGTCTTATACCTAGAAGGACATACCGTCTCCGCTCAGAATCGTTTTTCTTATACAATAATATAATATCATTGAATTCAAATGTAATACCATCCATTATACAGTGACCCACTTGTAACCTACTGTACAGCAGAGCGACACCCACTTGACCACCTTTTTTTATTATGTAATTTCGTCCAAATTTGAACTTAAAATAAATCGTATTAATGATATTAAATTATTATGAAATATTTCATAGTTTGTTAAAAGGTACCTATGTACTTTTTACACAAATAGAAATAAATGAAAACTGTTTTTTGTTTCTCCTGAAAAGTAGTTGGAAATGTACATGGGTCCCTTTTAACAAATTGCCATTCAATTATAAATAATTTGATATTTAGTTCATTAGGTAGGTACTTTGTTTGTAAATATCATAGATCAGTTTGAATAATCCGAATATTTTTTTTTCCTTTAAGGACGTACGGAGTTCACATCACTTAAAAATAAGAACTATGGTATTATGTCCAAGAAATGTGTAAGTCTACCTACAGTACTTAAGAACTTTTATTTTTGAATGTAAACAACTGACGAGTAAATAACAATATTGGGTTCAGAAAATTACAAGTTTTTCTTTCAATTGTTTAGATCGGATAATGTTGGCGAAGCTTTAATTTATATTCTGGAAAAAGGTAGTTCTGGTCAATATTGGATTGTGGAAAATGAAGAAACACCAAGACTGGCAGAGTGATGGCCTATATTTTATGTTAAAACTTAATCGATTTATTTGTTTTATCTAAATATGCATTTAACATAACGTGTGATTTGTGTTATTAATCTTATTTAATATTACTAAAATGGTAAAATGTTGGCTCAGTGTTTATTTAATACAATATGTCCATGATACAGATAATTTATGATCGTATAATTATTATTAATAGTTATTACGTATAGTTGCTTAATAAATATGCATATTTTATAAAAGTGTATTATCAGACAATTTTTGATTTTCAAGTGGTATGGCCTATTCTTTTTTCCATCATTTACAATTTTTTATTTCATAATAATAAATAACAACTTAAAAAAATAATCTTTGCACTTCTATTGACATTTTTATCTCGCTTATTTCGACCGATTCGACTTTGGCAATTGACCGATAATGTTGTTTATTTTTTTATTACAATTATACACTGTCTATTATATTAAAAGCGATACGTGTGCAGTCGCAAACTAAACGAATTTACAATATAACGCGTGTAAATGATTTGTATTTGCAGTCTGAATTTGCAGCATTATTCTGACTATATTTTATTTTAAGTCTGCTTATGCAGTCAAAATTAAAAATATCCTACTAATATTATAAACGTGAAAGTTTGTAAGTATGTTTGTTACTATTTCACTTAAAAACTACTGAATGGATTTTAATGAAACCTTACAATAATATAGCTTATACATCAGAACTACACATAGGCTACAAATCACCCCCTTAGGTCTTGCCAGGGTATGTGCTCGAACGGGGATTTAGATATTTAAAGTGGAAATTATTGTTTATAAATGGTCGCCATGTCTTGTAAAGTTATTATAATAATAATTATTGGTTGCCGTGAAATCAGTGTATTCATTCAATGCACTTAATTGTTTTTTTAAAACACTTTTTTGTACGCTGTGTTATGTACAAACAGCACGGGGTCCGCGATCTAACGCATGTAGATGCCTACCTGATAATATACTGCTGCGAATCAGAATTTTTATCCCAGACAACGGAAGAGTTAAGATAAATTTTGAACACCATACACCGAATATTAAATAACTAATTGAACAAAGTTTGAGTCATATAGAGTTGATACATTTAACGGGAAACGAAGTGCACGGGATCAGCTGACAGCTAGTAAATTTATAAGCGCGGTGACTGATACCGTATTGGCCGATATCATGCACCTAACCTATAGGAGGCGATGAACAATTGAAATAGAAACTAAAACCAAACTGAAAAGTGAAAAGAACCTAGTCTAGAATTCAACAATCCGAAAAAAAGATTGGGAACTAGAATTTTCTCACACAATTCGAAATTATTATAGTTTTAGTTCCTTCAATTTAAAAATGTTTATTATAGGTTGCCGCCGAAACATAATAACATAGCATTATTTTTATATTATCATTATCACTGGTCACGGAGGAATAGCTGGACTCACACACACATATATTGTTAGTACTGTTTTATTTTTGAATTGAATGTGTCTTGTGAGTTATATAATATGTAGATTAAACATTATCGCACGCCGTCGCGCCGTTTATGCGAATTTTATTTGGCACGGCGATCGTCAATCCGTCCTGTCTCGTACCGTACGATGTTTAGATATTATCAATCGTACTTTTCAATATTTGAACAAGTGTTAAAACAAAATTGTGAGCTCGAATCGCCACTAATATTATTAGATGTAAATCTACTGTTTTTCTCAGCACTGTGTCTACATTATTGTTCTTTCGGTGCTGATCGCCGAAGACATTCTTTTTTTATTCATTTTATTATTGTGGGCCATAAGGGCAATACTTTATCTTTATTACAATTCATATACCCTTGTCATTTTGTACAATTTATATTATTATAGCACAGGACCAGCTGGCCAGTCTGCGCTCCATGAATTGTGAGTTTTTTTTATTAATATTTATTTATTTTACGTATTACATTATTTGTTAGGCCAAAAGGGCCGTACACATTTTATAATTATTTTACTATCGTGCCAAAAGGGCCGCATATTATTTTTATATTTTATATTATATTATTCTAGACGAGTTTATACTCATACCAGCAATTATTAATCTGTATATTATTATTATATTCTGTTCAGCTATAAGGGCAGCGAATTATAATATTATTATAATTTATCATTGTGAATTATTTAAAGTCGTGTACCTATTATACAGCAAGTTGCCATTGAACATTGTTACAATTTTTGTATTAATTGTTTAATTGTATACTTACACATCTACATACATACACACATTCATACACAAATACACATAATCCACAACAAGTACTACATAGCCGACAGCAATTGCTAGGCGATCTCGACCACTGCTGTTCGAGCTATTACACCATTACACACCCAGCTAGTCCTCCATAATGTATTTTTTAGACCTAGGTGTTAGTGGCGTAAAAAAAAGGAGTTTGGTGTCCGGACACGTATATTATTATTATATACTCCGGCCCGTACACAATTATTAATATTTTGAATTTACTACTTAAGTACACAATGATGAGGAATATAATAATGAAACACATTGTCTGTGTTTTCGAGTGGACCCAGTTGCATGTGACCAGCGTCCAGGTAATCTTGCGTGAAGTCTACGTACTGGCGTCGAAGGTTTTGATTATTATTCAGTCAGTTGTCGAGTGCCTGGAAGAGCGAAGGGCAACAGATTTTGAATCACCTAACACAGGCGATGCTTTCCGAAATAAAAGAGATACCATGTATAGTCCGGTAATCAGCCGAGTTGTTGTCTTTTTATAAATTTCCTCGGCAGCGCGCTCATCTGGACTGAGATGGCGAACAACAGATAGCTCTTCAAGTTCCCAGAAACGCCTGATAGACAAGTCAAGAGTTTCAGAAACAGATTAACACATAGTTGTGACAGTTGACTGAGCATTACTGTCGACAGGTTCCATCAGAATCCAACCGAAAACAGACATGCCAGGCTGGCCTGTGGCTTTTCCATTTAGAAGTGGCATTGGCAAGATGTCGGCCTCTAACAGACGATCGACTGACTGAGGATGATGGTACAACGGATCAGCGAGAGAGAGGTTTTGTCTCTATGGAGAAAGTCTAAAAATGGTCTACCGCAGGGCAGTGTACTAGCACCAACAATGTTCAATATATACACCAACGACAAACCAATATCAAAAGACCAATCAATAAACCACTACATACGAGTATATGCTGACGATACCGCTATTGCAGTGCAAGACACGAGTTTTAAAACGGTGGAAAAAAAGATAACTACGACACTTAAAGAAGTTAGTACTTATTACCAAAGAAATCACTTACGACCAAACCCAGCGAAAACCCAAATATGCTCCTTCCATCTGAGGAATAGGGAAGCAAACCGCCTATTAAATGTAATCTGGGACGGTATAGAACTCGAAAATACCCAACATCCCAAATATTTAGGAATAACTCTGGATAGGTCCTTAACATACCGAGCTCATTGTGAAAAGCTAAAGAAAAAAATATCATCACGAAACGGACTGTTACGAAAACTAATGGGAAGCTGCTGGGGAGCCCAGACACATACACTAAGAACTACTGCAATGGCCTTATGCCTATCAACAGCCAAATACGCATCACCAGTATGGGGGAGATCTGTCCACTCAAAACAAATTGATGTCACACTAAATGAAACGTGCCGACTGGTGACAGGTTGTCTAAGAAATTCCAAAGTTGAAGAAATATATGTACTTGCTGGAATTGCCCCACCGGCAATCAGGAGGGCAGTGCAAGCAGATTGGGAGAGGACTAAGATGACGAAAGATGACAGACATCCAATGCATGGAATTGAAGCAAATAATTTCCGGCTAAAATCAAGAAACAGTTTCCTAAAAAAAGACGAAATGCTTAAAAACAACTAAGGAACAGGAAAGAGTTATGCAATGGACAAACCAAATTAGAGACAAAATATAGGTCCCCAGCGAAGCGTTACCATCAGGGAATCAACTAGAATGGCCCATTTGGAGAACTTTAAATCAAATGAGAACAGGAGTCGGTCGCACTAAGGACAAAAAGAAGAAATGGGGACTACTTGAAGGAACATCTACAACTTGTGAATGTGGGATGGAACAGTCAATGAAACGGTATCCCGTCAATTGATCTAAAACAGTTGATCGCATGACAATTGCTCGAAAACTTTTGATCGAAATACAATTGCTCGTAAACGACAATTGATCGAAGAGAAATAATTGCTCGCAAAACTAAAAATTATATTATATTATATTATATTATATTATATTATCTTATATTTTAAAATAATATCAAACAAAATTGCTAAATAATTAACTAGTATAAATAAAAAAATTGGTAGTACCTATTATTATTTAAATTGCATTTAAAAAATGAAGTCAATTAAAATTGCTAAAAAAACGTAAAATTAAAAATTAAATTTGCAGTTGAAAATTATAGGCTATTCCACGTAGATAATCTAGGATAAATAAATCATTATAATGAGTGCAAATTTTTTTAATTCTCTTAGCCCTATCTTGGTATTTTTTTTTTTCTGAGGTTCTATGCCACATATATATTGCTCAATTTTGAGTCGATTTATGCTTTCTTCTTTCTTTAAAGCTTCAATAAAACGCCATATTGATGGATGTTTTCCACTTAAGATAATTTTGGGATTTAAATTTGGTTTTAATGACTTTAAAGCATCAAACATTCGACGATAGGTATCTTCTTTTTTATCAGATAGCAATACATAAACACTGGGAACCACATTTGAATAACATATACCATGAATTGTGTATAATTGCGTAAAAATCGGTGGAGCTACCGAAAAAGTTCCATCACAGAACCAATGTTCACAATTCTCCATAAAATCCAAATTTTTTTGGGTTGTATAAATCAAAATACGCGGGAGATTTATGCCGCTGTCATAATGTAAAAGTAACTCACCGTCACTTGTATTTCGATACTGCTCAGGAATAATAAAATCAAAATTATTTGGGTTAGGTGGAGAAGCTTCTTCTCTTTGACGAAGACGTTGAATTGTTCTTTTTAACGTTTGTACATTTGGCATATCTGCAGCTAGAGCACTTGGTAACTAATTATAAAAAAACATTTTATTGTTTTATATTTATATTAGGTATAAAATATAATATTTTATAATACCTGCGATGACATTTCTCCAATAACAGCATGAGTACTAAGTGTAGATTGGGATGAAATCTCCTTTAAATGTGATACAGCCTTCTTAACCTCAATTTTAGATGCATTTGGTACATGATTATTATGTTTGATGAACTTCACGATATTTTCGTTAACAACATGAACTCGACCTTTGCATTTAATTTTTTTGCTTTCGGAGCATTTTCAATACACTTTTTCATTATACATTTTTTCTTGTGTATGTAAAAATCCTTTATACTCTAACATTCTTTTATTTTATTCACTGTTTACATATACTAAACTCATGATGGTAAAATTTTAAACGAGTCAAACGTATTTGAAGTAGGTACACTATAATACTGAAACAATAATAATCTCGGATGCATGCACCATGATATAAAATTACTATCGCGGTTGAATTTAATATTATCTTTATATCTAAGTACAAAGTGCACCACGTCGATGTAAGATATAAATTATATATAGATATTATCGATGTGACTCGGTGGAAATATGAAGTTGTTTATTGCGAACAATTCTTCTTCGATCAATTGTCGTTTGCGAGCAATTGTTTTTCGATCAAAACTTTTCGAGCAATTCTCGTGCGATCAATTGTTTTCGATCAATTGACATGTATCCCAATGAAACATATTCTGCAATGCCCAATCTGTCCTTACTCATGCACACAAGATGATGTTATGAATGCAAACGACAACGCCAAAGACGTAGTTTGGCTGAAACCATATGAACCAGAATACTAATATTATTATTATTTATTTATTTATTTACAAACGAACAGTGAATAAGTACAATAAAGCGATAGGAACATTTGTTTGACACCTTCATTAAGCAATTGCTTGTGTTGAAGGTGATGAGTTCATAATATCTTAATATCTAAAGTTTACACCGATCAGTTCTAATATTAAATTATTATTAAAAGGAGAAAGAGAAAAAAAAAAAAACAAAACAAAACGTAAATTTAGAAATCGAATTAAATCCTTAAAGAAAACTTATTTGACTCATTATATAAGATTTAAAATGCTTAAAATTACTGAAATTATTAACATTAATTGACATTCTATTATATAGTGTAAGTGCTCGATTTAGGCAACTTTTATATCCAAATTGTTTGTTACATTTTGGAATAGTTACATTTATATTTTTCCTAAATCTCGTATTGTAATCATGATTACAAGGAGGTAGGTACATTTTATGTTTAAAACTTAATAGCAAGGTACATTTAATAAGAAGTTTATCGATGTCTAAGACATTTAGTTCTTTATAAATAAATGTAGTACAAGTAAGCATAGAAAGTTTTAAAATAAATTTAATAATCTTATTCATAGTCGATTTTAATTTGATCAAATGAATTTCATAAGCGCCACCCCATATCTCGATACCAAATGCAATAATTGATTGAACTAGGGAAATATATATAATTCTAAGTTGATGTTTATCAAGTATGTACCTAAGATCTCTAAAAACATAAAAGAATTTACGAATTAAGTTTGTAATATAGTTTATATGTATGTTCCATTTTAGTTGAGAACCAATATATATTCCTAAATATTTGATAGAATAGACTCTATCAATATTTATGAATGTACAATTATCCAAATTACTATTTGGGTTAGAGGTATTTTGTATGTTTAAATTCCATTGAATGTCATGATTAACATTCTGAATATTAAAAATAATATGTTTAGTCTTATTTAAATTTAGATCTAGAAAATTATTGTTGAACCATGATTTTACTATTTTAAATATATTATTAGCTTTATAGTATAATTTTTCAATATTTTTTTCTTGAATAAGAATGATAGTATCATCTGCAAAACAAATTGTTTTTGAATCAATATTAATATTAAGCAAACCATTAACATATATAATAAAAAAGATAGGTCCCAAAACGGTTCCTTGAGGAACACCATGATTTATTTTTAAAGGTGAACTATATGAATCATTAATTTTGACTATTTGTATCCTATCAGTGAGGTAAGATCTAATAAAATCATTTTCTTTTCCGCGTATACCTGCATAATTTAATTTTTTTAGTAGTAACTCATGATTAATACTGTCAAACGCTTTTTTAACGTCAAGAAAAATGCCCATAACTTTATTACCAATATCAAGATTCTCGTGAATGAATTTATTTACAAAAAAATGTGCATCGTTAATAGATCTACCTGGAATAAAACCAAATTGATTCATAGAGAAAAAAGAATTGGTATTAAGGAAATTCATAGTTCTAGTTTTGATGCATTTTTCAAAAATCTTAGATATACTTAAGGATAAAGAGATAGGTCTGTAGTTGCTACAATCTAGTTTGTCACCAGACTTAAACAGAGGGATAACTATACATTTTTTAAGACATGACGGATATTTTCCGTTATCCAGGGACAAATTAAATAATAACATTAATGGGAAAGAAATATTATGTATTGTTGACTTAAGAATGTAATTAGAGATAGCATTTTCATAATATGAAGAGTAATTTTTAATTTTAAGAATGTCATTTATGATTTCTGCTTGAGTTATAGGAGTCAAAAACATAGAATTATTAACATGGCAATTTTTATTTAAATCTGTCCAGTCCTCATAATCATAGCCGTTTTTTTTATATTATGTTCGATGTTTTTTCCCACGTTGGCAAAAAACGTATTAAATTCATTTGCAATATTGATATTTCCATTAGCGATCGAATTGTTACTAAGCCTAATACTATTTATTTCAACATTATATGTTTTTGTTCTACCTGCTATATTATTTATCGTTTCCCACATTTTTTTAGGATTATTTTGGAGTTTAGATAAAAGATCTTGATAATATATTTTTTTCCTATTTCTAATTAAAGTATTTAGAATATTAATATAATTATTATATTTTTGTTTTAAATTAGAATCAAATGGGCGTCTAAATATTTTTTTGGATAATTTATGCTTATGATTTGTGGAAATAATTAGTCCCTTAGTAATCCAATCTTTAATTCTTTTATATTTATTAGACATCTTAGATACGTGATTAAAAGAAGACATATTAATCATTTCTTCAATTTTATTTAAGAAATGTTGAAAAGATTTATAGATATTATTTCTGTCAATAATATCATTCCGATTTTGTTAACTTATTAATGAATTAAGAAGTTTTATATTGATTTTAGTTCTTGTTTTATTTTGTGAAGTATGACAGTCTTTGATATTATTAACAGAGTTTTCAATGAGAACTATTGTACCAAAATGATCAGTGATTTTACATTTTAGTATAAATGCTTGAATATTATCACTATTAATGTTTTTGGTAAAAATATGATCTAAACAAGAACTGGAATGATTAGTAATACGAGTGCACTCATTAATACAAGAAATAAAATTATGTGATGCCATAGTATTAAGATAATCGAAAGAAATATCAGGGTCGATAATATTTATATTTATATCACCCACTATAATGTAATAAACATTAGAATCGTTTAGTCGTTGAAGGTAATCATTTAGTCCGATAACAAAATTATCTTTATTACTATTTGGCGACCTATAAATTCCTATTATCGACAAAGTTTACCCATTATGATCAAATACTAATTCAATAGAATTACATTCAGTAATAAAACCATGGGTGATGCTCTTTAAGTAAAAATTATTTTTTATAAAAATAGTTACACCATCGCTTTTTTGAACAAAATTAAAATCGACTAATAACCATGTTTCACTTAATATTAGAATATCAAAACTATCGTCCATACTACTCAGCATTAGGACTAGTTCATCAAAGTTACAGTTTATACTACGAATATTCATTGAAAAAATACTAATGTTATATTTATTTTTATTTACAGAGAAAGACACTAAGTCATCAATATATTTTGTTTTTACATTATTTAAACGGTTAATTTCCTTTAATACTAAGTTATCAATATTCATATAAAATAAGAGAAAATAAATACAAATAGACAATTACTTACAAATAGTATCTTATTAGTTATTAAAAAAAATGACAACGTTTATCCTGAGGATTCTAAGTCGTGAAGTTTCAAATGAGCCAACTTGTTTTCCACATCATATCCAGATATGTCTTTAATAGATTGTATTTTAATCGGAACATCTCCATCAGTCTTCCTTAAATACACTCCGTTCGAATTTGCCCAAACATATTTCCAATTGTATTCTTTCGACAGTTGCTTTGTTAACCAAAATATTTTTCTAAACATGGGTGAAAGTTCATGATTGACATAGACAATTTTGTCAGGAAAAGAGTTGTGTACGACAACCTTTTACCATTTATGTGACTTTGAATTATTTTAATATGTTTATTTATTTTATATGTTTATGTTTATTTATGTTTATTTATTTTATTCATTTGTTTGTCTTTTATATTTATACTTATGGTTTCACTTTATATGTATACTTTGTTGGTTATTATTTGAGGATTATACCTACATAATGATGTGCCTGATACGAGAAAAAAAAATTAGTATAATCACAATGCTCTAGACTAATATACTAAATTAGGTTAGTAGACTATATTAGTTTTATTATGTTATTTAACTTTACAGAAATAATTATAACAGTGGTCTTATAGTGCAAAATATTGGTTTTGTAATAATTGTATCAACAAATTACAATATATAATTATAATATATAGAGGGGGAACAGCGACTCTCTTGATCCTACACAAATAAATAATAAATATGACCCTTCTGTGTGTACAGATAATACAAATAATAATAATATGATATGTGTAAAAAACTCACAAATATGTGTTCGGCTGGCCAGCTGCTACCTATCCTATGGTTAAAAGAACAATAGTACTGACACACGACACAGACAATGCGTCATAACAATATAAAGACGCTGTCGATTTACGCCACGACAAAAACAATATAATTTTGTGTACTGCGATTCGCGCCTTTAACACTATATAAAGTGGCATTTCGTACCTTACAAATAATAATAATATAAAACTGTGGCGAATCGAGCCCACAAAAAACAACAATATAAAAAGTGAAACGGCGATTTGCGCACGTATAATAATAGTTTCGACGGGTGACGGGTGACGCTCACCTTCGAAAGTAGAACCTTATTTAAATCATCCCCCCACTCTTGACCTCGAGGCAAGTGCGCCCTAGCGGTCACACGGCCGGGCCCCCTAGGAGCGAAGTCAACCCTGCAGTTCGCCGAACCAGGGGGGGTCACCGACGAATCAGAAAACGCGGCGCCACTCCTCCAATGCAAGTCTCGAAGAAAAACAGAACATCTCCTCCTGCTAAAACTAACTTCGTCTCATCTAATTCCGCCTGCTCTGAAGACAGCTGGAGCAATAGTGAAACTCAGCCCTCGTGTTCCCCCTCACCAAGACTTTCCATGAACAACATACCTGCACCAACCCTACCATCATCATCTGCTACTTCCACTTTTCTCGACCCCGTCGCTGACATCAACCAACGCCCTCCAAAAGTTCCGCCTATTTTCCTTCCAGGCTCCGCCTGGCGCAATGTTGCTCCTAAACTTATGTCCGCGGTTCCAGCCGACGGCATTCTAGCCAAGGCCTGTGACAATAATTCCATTCAACTACAATGCGTCGACATAGATCTCTTCAGGATTGTTCAAAAATACTTACACAAGAACAATATAGATTTTCATACCGTCCCGTCCCCTACCGAACGGACAATCAAAATCGTCATCCGTGGGCTGCTTCCTGACATCACCGAACTTGAGGTGTCGGACGAACTGAAATCCAAGGGCTACGATGTCACCACCGTACGCCAATTCGGGAACGCCTCCCGCAAATTTCCTCTTCACTTGGTCATTCTTGCCGCCACCCCTTCCAGCAAACAAATTTACAACGAAACTTCTCTCTTCTTTAAGGCTATTAAAATCGAAGCCTTCAAATCTAACAACCCTGCCCAATGCTTCTCCTGCCAACGTTTCGGCCATTCCAGCCTTCACTGCGGCTACGCTCCAAGATGTGTCAAATGCGCTGGAGGCCACCTAGCCAAAGAATGTCCCAAATCCAGAGATGAAACACCTAAGTGTGCTAACTGCTGTGGCGCCCATACCGCCAACTACAAAAGCTGTCCTTCACTGACCCAAGGGAAGGACAAAAGACGACCTGTCAGACCTAACACCTCCATAACTGCTGATCAAACCTCCACTCTAAACAGTGTTCTACCTGTTGCTCCCACAAGCCAGACATCATCTCTCCAGTCTCTCCCGGTAAATTTCATCACATGCGCTTCCAAAACGTCCAATAACAGCCAACCCAAGAATACTGTCCCTGACTCAATAGCAGCCGAGCTCACTACCATCATCTCAAATCTTGTATCCAATAATATGAAGGTAAAAGATGCCCTCATTTCTTTGTTGACCATTCTACCACTACTTCTCAACCTCCAAAATGAGTAACACCCGCATACTATTTTGGAACTGTCAAGGCGTCACTCGGAGGCACCTTGAACTCATTGATTTCATCCTTCAACAAAAAATCGACATCCTGTTACTCAACGAGACTCATCTCACCGGCCAACGTTCAATCAACATCCCCAACTACTTCACCTACACATCTAATCGTCCCCAAGTCCCCGGCCACTCAGCCGGAGGTGGAACCGCAATTCTCGTTCATAGACGGTTCACTCATCAACATGTCGTTATATCAACTTCATCTCTAGAGAACACGACTGTTCACATTCAAGTCAAGAATACTGTCCTTCGCCTCGTAGCCATCTACAAAAGACCAGCCAATATCCTTCTACCAGCTGATCTCTACGCCCTTCTGGACACTCCTTACAACACCATTGTAGCAGGCGACCACAACAGCAAGCACCAACTCTGGTTCAGCCGCAGGCCTAACGCGGCCGGCAGCGTTCTGGCTCACTTCATCAACTCCAGAAACGATCTTGCTGTAGCCGCTCCAGTCACCCCAACGCACTCTCCTAATAACTCCAATCACAGTCCAGACATACTAGACATCGCTATAATAAAATCCAACAACATCCAGTATCACCTCGAAAATTTATCTTCAGACCTCTCTTCCGACCACACTCCAATTGTTCTGGAACTCCACTCTACTTCAGCATCTATGAATCCTCCTGAGCCTACACATGCAGTTGACTGGGCCGCATTCCAGTCTCACATGGACTCTGTCAGTCACTCTCCTTCCAGCGGATCCACAACCAACTCCATCGACTCAGCCATCAAGAACCTCACAACCCTCATGTCAAATGGCATCGTTTGCAGCACATCCTCGATCGTGCACTCCGATCACTCCAGGGTTCTTCCCAAAAAGCTGCAGCTTGAAATCGACCTCAAGCGTCGCCTAAGATCTCGCTGGCAGAGAACCAGAGATCCAGGTCTCAAAACCACCTTGAACCGACAAATCACCAAAGTCAAAGATCTCATGGCCGAACACCGCAACAACAAATGGAACAACCTCCTTGGATCCCTCAACGAAGGCTCAAACGCGTGGACACGCTTCTACAGACTAAACCGGGCCCTCATACGCAAAACTCTACCTTCTCGCCCTCTCAAGGATTCATCAGGCAACACCATCTTTGACCCCAAGTCAAAAGCCGATCTGCTGGCCGACTCCTTGGAAACTCAATTTCGGTCCCCTCCTGGAAACGTCATCATCGATTCTTTGGTCCACGATAAACTGATCCATCAGCGCACTATTCCGTCCACCTCCATTTCGTTCTTCTCACCTGCAGAAGTCTGGAACGTAATCAAATCGCTCCCCAGTCGTCGCGCCCCTGGGCCCGATGGTATCAGCAACTGTGCGCTCAAAAACTGTGGACGCAAAACTATAACACATTTATGTCGAATATTCAACTGGTGCAAACGACTCAACTACTTCCCACTGCCGTGGAAACATGCCACAGTCATCACTATTCCGAAGCCTGGCAAGGACTTATCCAACCCTGTCAACCATCGTCCAATTTCTCTGCTCAACACGATGTCTAAAGTCCTGGAGAAACTTTTGCTCATCAGACTGAAAATCCATACCTCCTCCAAAATTCGACCCGATCAACATGGCTTCAGAACTTCACACAGCACATCAACTCAACTTCTAAGAGTCATCGACGACATCTCCCTAAATCTCAACCTAAGAAAAAAGACCGTCGCAATTCTCCTTGACGTAGAAAAGGCTTTCGATAAGGTTTGGCATGACGGCCTCATCAGCAAACTGATTGACCTCGCTGTGCCCAACGACCTCATCGCCATTATCCGTTCTTTTCTCACTGACAGAAGCTTCCATATTAAAATCGAAGGAAAAAACTCCACCACTCGCAAAACTCTAGCAGGCGTGCCTCAAGGCTTATGTCTTGCTCCACACCTGTTCTGCCTATATATCAATGACATGCCAGCTCACCCTAAATGCCGTACGGAACTCTTTGCTGACGACATTCTTTTTTATGCCACCAGCAATTCCAACGACGCTGCCACCAAACTACTATAACTTCAGCTCAACATCACTGAAAAATGGTTCCACGACTGGCGCATCACGGTTAACCCTCTCAAAACAACAGCGATAATGTTCTCTCATAGATCCACTGCCACTTCCATCCAGCCTAAACTCAAAAACATAAGCATTGAGTGGTCTCACTCAATGAAGTATCTCGGCGTCCACGTGGATAAAAAACTTAACTTCTCAAAACACGTCACCACCGCAGTCAATACGGCAAAATCTGTTAAACACTCACTATACCCTTTACTATCCAGCCCTAGTCTCACCATCAACACCAAATGCTTTATATACAAAACCTACATCCGCCCCATAGCCACATATGCCTCTCACATCTGGGCCTCCAACCTATCAGCCAGCAGCTGGTCAAAGCTTGAAAGTCTTCAATCAACCTCTCTCCGCCAAATTTCTGACCAACTGTGGTCCGTCAACAACAAGGCAATCCGCCACTCCACTAACATCCTACCCATCAAGGACCATATAAATCAACTCACCAACTCCGTCAAAACTCAAATCATCAACTCTCCACACAACCATATCTCCGAAATCAGCACAAGAAGACCAACCTCCCAACTTTTCATAAAACGACCAATCAACTTCTAACTTTCACCTCATTTCGTAAGCCCAAGTGCACAATCCATACAAAATTCACTCCATAAATCATTCACACTGGCAGAAGCGCTAGCCTGTTACAGTGCAAAACATTTAAAGCAAAGCATGACGGTCATGAGCCTTTGGTTATGCGAACAGAACTGAATAATATTGGGCGGCCGTGTTATAAACCGCGGACCGTTGATCCGGCGGTGGCCACTATCGTGTCGATACGCGTAATCTACATATTATACATATAACTCTTAAAAATATTCTATACAACATAAAACAATATAAATTACAATGAAATGGTAAAGGTTGGCAAGTTAAGTTAATTCTTTTAAACTGCTTTCAATTAAGTAAAATTTAACAAAAAAAAAAAAATTATACACATATCATATACATTTTATCATACACAAACATTTACCAAGATGTTTAACACTGTGTAAAAATATAGATTATTATAGTACATAATTCGACAATAAATTACACAAATCTAAAGAGTCGACTAATCAGTATACGCTAATTGATTACGCATGATTCGAAAAGAAAATTAACGACAATGATAATTAACAATAAAAAGTTAAGAACATTAAAAAATTTAACTGAATAAGTTATAAAGTTAAAAACAAAAATAATTAACTAGTTAAGTAAAGAAGTTAAAAGAAATTCACTTTTCAACTTAACTTTAACTTTTTAAAGGGTTAATAGATATATTGTAGATTAAATACCTTCAATGTATCTTGCGAATACTGCATTTATTATTATAGTAGATCCTAGTTGCTTGTAGAAATATTTGGATAACATCATATTTTCATTTTCACATGACATTTCTATTTAAGTATGAAATCAAAATTCTTTTTTATATGCGTCTGAAAACGCTGAAAAATCATAAAATGTTTCTTTTAATGTTTAAAAAGTATTTAAGAAAGAAACAATATTCCAGTAATTAAACTTAAATAATAAACAAATTATTTTTTTACAGTTTTCAATGAATATCGAGAATACTGGATAAAAAATTGAGGCAAAAGACCAAAGATTGGAAAAGGGGAAACCTGTCCTGAGGTCTTGTCTTTTTTAAATTTTTTATACTATCTTCTATAATTAATTTATTACACAAGTTTTATAAATAAGACAATTAATTACTAAAATATTTTTAATCATGTTTAATTATTTAAATAACACGGTACGCAGCAGCAACCAGTACAAATTACAGGCACAGCAGCGACCGGTCTACACTTTTGTCAACCACCACCATGGACACGACAGCGCGAAACCATTGACTCACACACCACTCCGCAAAGTTGATTGCAGGACGGGAAAGCAAGTCACGCAAAACGGGCTTAGGTCTCGCATCGTAACCGTCGTCACGAAAACTGTCTTTTTCGAACAGTGTCACCAATAACCATCATACACGAGTCACGTTACGTACGTTTCAAATATCTCTGTTCATTCACCTCATGTATCGGCGATCGCCTGTTAAGCCGTTGAATGTTTCCAACCAATAAAGCATTTCGTCCTTAAATAAATCGTTTTGTGCACTTCCTTCCCCACCACTCCACAATCGCAACAGGACCCACACGGACAGCCCATTTCAAATTGGCTCCCCGGCGGTGAATGGAACCCCGCCCACACAACATTTGGGAAATGATAATATTTTGTGAAAGTCTTAAAGTGGTTATATACTGAATATTTGACTAATAATATTTTATAAAAACTTATTTTTTAAAAAATATTTTCATATATATGTGCAACATTTTTGGAAAAAGAATATAACAAAAATATATCATAATTATTTACGCAACTTTTTAAAATATTTTAACAACTATATTATTTTCCTGAAAATATTTTTAAAATAAGTTAGGAAATATAGAAATATGCTGTATGGACGGTCTCCCACGTGACAGGCAGAGATACTTACCACTATAATACCAAGCACAATAAAGATCAACATATAAATAACCAAAATAATATTACTTTAATAAAGACTAAATTGAAGGAAAACAATACAAATATGAATATGAAATATGCAAAATATATTTTATGAATTTTTTTAAATAATGTATTTAAGGCGTCAAATTCAAAGTTTATTAGCTAACAATCGTTTCCGTAATTTAATTACATTAAATTTTCAATTTTTTTTTTAAGATTTAAATAGTCATTATATTGAAGGGCCATTGATCCAGATGTTCGCTGTGAGCCCTACTATCTTGATAAAGTCTGCGATGGAACCCACATGAGTTTAAATAGTTTGATGTCTTGAATAATATGATGTATTTTTAAAGAGTTTTCCATCATTGTTAGGTTTTTTTAATTTGATTCTGTAGTCACTTTTTATACAGGTTTCTTCGGCATGTATCCATGCATGGCTTTTTAAATATGATCGAAGAAGAAACCATTGGTAGCAGATAACACATTTATATGGTATTTATCTGGTATGTGTCATTGTGTGACATGTCAAAATTGATTTCCGAGAAAAAACTTTACCACAGTCATCACATTTATACGTCTTTTCACCGGTATGTGTCCTTTTATGCCTTATTAAATTTGATTTCCAGGAGAACACTTGATCACAGTTATGACATTTAAACGGCTTTTCACCGGTATGTGTCCTTGTATGATAAATTAAATTTGATTTCTGAGAAAACGATTGATCACAACCATCACATTTAAACGGCTTATCACCCGTATGTTTAGTTGTATGATTAATTAAACTTGATTTCAGAGAAAACGCTTGATCACAGTCATCACATTTATAAGGCTTTTCGCCGGTATGTGTAACTTTATGCCTCTTTAAATTTGATTTCCGAGAAAACAATTGATCACAGTCATCACATTTATGAGGCTTTTCATCGGTGTGTGTCCTTGTATGATTAATTAAACTTGATTTTTTAGAAAATGCTTGATCACAGTTATCACATTTATAAGGTTTTTCGCCGGTATGTGTCCTTGTATGATTAATTAAACTTGATTTCTGAGAAAACGCTTGATCACAGTTATGACATTTAAACGGCTTTTCACCGGTATGTGTCCTTTGATGGCTAATTAAATTTGATTTCTGAGAAAACGATTGATCACAGTGATGACATTTAAACGGCTTATCACCCGTATGTGTCCTTGTATGCCTTATTAAAGTTGATTTCTGAGAAAACGATTGAACACAGTCATCACATTTATATGGCTTTTCGCCGGTATGTGTAACTTTATGCCTCTTTAAATTTGATTTCCGAGAAAACAATTGATCACAGTCATCACATTTATAAGGCTTTTCATCGGTATGTGTCTTTGTATGATTAATTAAACTTGATTTTTTAGAAAACGCTTGATCACAGTTATCACATTTATAAGGTTTTTCGCCGGTATGTGTCCTTGTATGATTAATTAAACTTGATTTCAGAGAAAACGCTTGATCACAGTTATGACATTTCAACGGCTTTTCAACGGTATGTGTCCTTTGATGGCATATTAAATTTGATTTCTTAGAAAATGCTTGATCACAGTTATCACATTTATAAGGTTTTTCACCGGTATGTGTCCTTTGATGGCTAATTAAATTTGATTTCTGAGAAAACGATTGATCACAGATATGACATTTAAACGGCTTATCACCCGTATGTGTCCTTGTATGCCTTATTAAAGTTGATTTCTGAGAAAACGATTGATCACAGTCATCACATTTATAAGGCTTTTCACCCGTATGTGTCCTTGTATGCCTTATTAAAGTTGATTTCTGAGAAAACGATTGATCACAGTCATCACATTTATAAGGCTTTTCACCGGTATGTGTCATTGTATGAATAATTAAAGTTGATTTCTGAGAAAACGATTGATCACAGTCATCACATTTATACGGCTTTTCACCGGTATGTGTCATTGTATGAATAATTAAACATGATTTTTTAGAAAACGCTTTATCACAAAAATCACATTTATACGGCTTTTCACCTGTGTATGTCCTTGTATACTTTGTTAATTTGGATGCTGTAGACATTTTATCACTGTTGTTATCTAATCCCAATGGATTTTTATTTAGGCAGTTAGATATCAAGTCTAAATTCATACCAGTTATGTTTTCTGCAGAATTGCTTTCGCTTAAAACTGCTCCTTTAAATTCAAATCCTTCAATATGATTTACTTCAGTTTTTATTTCGGTATCAATGGTGTCAACATTCAATTCAGTTTTAGTTCTAAAAAATAAAATAAAGTATTTCAAAAATGTTAACCTTTTTCAATAAAATAAAATAAAATTCATTACATAGTATGGATATATTAATTATGAATGAAGGTATACCTTGTAACCAATTTGTTATAATGTTTTCAAAATATTATATCAAACGTAGTTACAATTATGGTCGAACATTTATATGTTTAAATTATATTATATATTATACAAATATAAGTATTTTAAAATATAATATATAATATATTCAAATATAATTTATAAATATAATATATATTAACAATACTAAATTAACAATAAACTAGGATATATTATATAAAACAATATTAATTAACAATTTAAAAACGAGAAGGAGGAATATTATACGCTGCTCTAAACCCATTTCATAGAGTGGTATGGGTACTACATATGGTTCCGGGACTTTTGCGGTCAGCACCTTTTTCTGCTCAAATTGTTCGAGAAGAGTTTACACCAATAATAGAACAGGGATTAGATTTAGGGACTGAAACTCTAGCAAACTCATCTGTAAAAACAACATTGAATCGTATACGACGAATAATTATAATAAGGTTTTAAAAAATATGATTGACAAAATATATAAATTATATAATTATTATATGAATTTTTTATAATAATAACAAGCTTTTAAACTTGCTGTAAAAAAATACTCAAATTCTTAAGCTTGGAAAGGTGTGAAAGGAAGTTTAAATAAAAATAAATATATACCTTTTAACAAAAAATAAGTATATAATATATATTATTTATTGCATCCACATTTTATTGTTAGGTAGATAGAAATAAATTGACGGCAAGTGGCACGAAAATGGTGCCGACCGCAAATGCCCTGACCGCATCGGTGACGACACCGGTCACATTATATTATGGCGGTCCACTGCGTGGACAGTTGTGAGCCACAACGGGCCTGCCCAACCGGGCTCGTTCAGAGGGAAAATCAGTCGTAGTCCAGCTGAATCTCCGAACTCATGTATACTTAATTTGTTTGACGTAGTTTAAATAAAAAGATATAGTATTTCTCTGAGCGTACTTATTAATTTCTCGTTAAGACGTACACAACAACGCCTAATAAGTTCATTTAACATATAATTTGTGGTAGATAGTTTTATAGAAGAAGGGACAGAATGCCTGACAGATCGTTGAGGTACCTTAAAATTAACCAGAGATAAGAGGGTAGGTCAACTAGTTTTACCAGATAGAATATTATTTAGCAACTGGAGATTGATTGAATGTCGGTGATCAGATAAGGAATCTAAACTGAGTCTTGAAACTACAGGTGTATAATCATGTTGGGGATGTGGGATTTTGGTGAAGGAACTAGCGAACCTAAGAAATCTTCTCTGCGATCGTATTGGGATCCCAGATTACACTGCCATATTCAAGTATACTCCGCACCGAAGCGCAGTAGAGTACCTTAAGGGATTGACCGTTAGTGAAGGAATTAGCAGTTCGCATAATAAATCCTTTGGTTCCAAAAACCTTGCAACCACTATATGAGGTCTTCAATCTAGAAAACTTGTTAGTTTGATGCAGACATCAGGAACAAAACTTTAGATGCGTCAGGATGGTACCATTTATATTATAAGAGAAAACCATTTTAGAGTGTCTTCTAGTGAAAAACATCATGCTACATTTGTTTATATTTAATTCAAGTCCTATAAGGAAAAAAATCCATTATGCGAGGAACGCCTAAACAGGGTCCATTGTGGATAAATAATATATTGTAGTTGATAGAGGAAAACCACAGAGGCAATTCTTCTTGTTCATTGGTTGATACCGAATTGTTAAAGGATAATTCCTTAGGAATGTTATTAGCTTTTTTATTATTTACGAATTTCTAGAAACCCTGAGGGACGGGGGTCAGTAATGAATGACAGTTATTGGACCGTTCAACATATGAGCAGTAACACTTTTTTGATTCAATTGTGAAATGAGAATTTTTTGTCACTAGTAGCATTTGGATAAGATTTGAATCTGGCGTGAGCCCTTTTAGAAGACCAGTCAAAAGATGACATAAATTATCGAATACAAATTAGATCAGCTTTACGGAAGTTATAGTAAGTACATAACATTGATTTTAAGTCATAATATTCGGTAACGAAATGCTAAGGGCAGGATGGAAAGTGTCAACAGGACAAGTAGTTAAACAGATTTATCAATAAAAGATTTAAAATAAAATCCCCCCCCCCCATGTTTTAAAGAAATTATAGGAAATTTAACATGATAAAACTAAAGTAACCTGTAACTGTGCGCAAAGTGAATTAGTATAGGTGAGTTTTATCTGTAATCGTTTTCTGTAAATATTTCCTAGAAATGTTCCTGAATTATAAATTATAACAGTTAGTCCGCATCATAATATTACCCGTTTGGTCGGTCGTTATTTATACTCGCAAGTTAATTTACGTAAAAGCAGGTAATGACGAAATTATTCATTTAGACTATAAATCCAGACAAAACTGAAGGATTATGGTTTGACTGATTTTCATTTATTACTAAGTTTACTAGGGTTCAATCAAGGCGACTTTGAATATCTATTTTTTCATCTGTAATATATGAATAAAATTATGATATTTTTGTTTTCATATTATTCAATAAGACACTAAAAATAATTGGAATATTAAATATTTGCCTCTCAACAAACCTAGTAAAGTTAATCAATCATAATCCGTTTTCAAAATGAAAATCTGTCAAACAAAGTTCCTCCAGATTTGTCTGATGGAGCCTCCTTAATCGTAGGTATACTTAAAACTTTTACCAAATATGTATGTTAGCATTTTTTATAAACCTAAAATGTACATAAAAATATTTTGACTATTTTTTGAGCCATTTTAGGCAAACGAAATATTTTTTTTTTACAAAATCAAGAAATCTTAAGACTATTAAAGTATATAATTAGCTTGGTCTCGACCGTTGATAATGAAACAGTGATGGCCGTTAGTCATTATTTTATTTTCGACTACGTATTGAATTTCGCCCGAAAAGACATCTTTTCCAAAAAAACATCAAGGTTCCACTCAGCCAAACAACTCATCTCGTAAAGAAATTTAACCATCAAAAACGAAGAAAATATGTTTCAAACAATCGTTTTTCACCACTTATAAATCAAACCGACGTCTTCGAAAATCAGGTCAACGACACAGACAACATGGGCCTTGATTCTACACTAAACGAACCAACCTTCCTCCCCAAAATCACAACAAATATAACTCCTCCAAAAATATTTATTCGTTCAGTCACCGACTTCAACTCCTTCTGTAAGACCATCAAAGAAGTGATTAATGCTTAACAATTCTCCTGTAAATGCACAATCAACGGTGTAAAACTGTCAACACAATCTTCTGACTCGTATCGTTCTGTTATTAAACATCTAAGATCCAACAACTCCGACTCTCACAACTACCAAGCAAAAGAGGATAGAGCATATCGCGTGGTTATCCGCAATCTTCACCATACCACTAAAATTGATGAGCTTAGAAAATAACTACTGTCACATGGTCATACTCCGAGAAGGATATCAAATGTTATCCAACACGGCACTAAATCTCCACTCCCTCTTTTTTTTTATCGACCTGGTACCCGCTCTCAATAACAAAGAGATTTTTAATCTAAAATACGTATTCTACACCAAAATCAAAATCGAGGAGCCTTTTTCATATATACCAACAATTGTGTATTAATAATTTTAACCATATACTGTGTTTATCTCAAAAATAATGTAAGTATTCCTGTTGTACAAAAAGTAATAGCAAATGAACAAGCAGAAGCTATTTACAAAACCTTAATTGAATGAAATATACAAAATTCTGTTAAAGCTCTGTCATTTGATACAACTGCAGTTAATAGTGGTCGATTAGGTGGTACTTGGATGTGTATTGTTAGAAAGACTTTTATAAAAAAAATTATATTGTTTGCCATGCAGACATCATATTTATGAGATAATTTTACGAAGTGTTTTTGAGGAAAAATTAAATAAACCTTCAGTGAATAACGTTCTTATTTTCAAAAGATTCGAGCACTCGTGAAATAAAATAAACAAGGACGATTTTTTTCCAGGTATTTTGGAAAATTAAATGAAAGAAATTATTAATCCTCATTTAACAAGAGTTTTAGAGGTTGTAAAGGAACATTTGAAAATTGTACAACCTTGAAACAATTACAAGGAGTTAATCGAGTTCATAATGTTTTTTCTAGGTGGTAAACCAAATAATAATATTAATAATAATGATTTATTCAGCTCAGATAAAATATAAACAAGAAAAGAAGAAAAAAAACAAACATAAGGAATTATATGAACTGAGCTGATTACCACTCTATTTAAGCATGCTTGTGATGAGAGGGGGAGACTCAGATATTAGTTATATGAATAATATTAAAATGTTAGCAAGTTTTTTTAAAGTATATAATAGTGACAGTATACTAAAAATAAATAAACAAAAACAGAATACATAATAGTACTTAAATAATAATAATAATAATAATGAACATTGACATTAATTGATTTTGATCAATTAATTGATACATTGATATTAATGATTATTTTTCACAAAAATATAATTTTTTATACTTTTTTTAATCTTTCTTAATCTTTTTGTATTTAAATTTATTTGTGTTTTCCATTTTATATCCCCATCAAAGTAAATGCCTAAATATTTAACATTATTTACACGAGTTAATTTAAAACAATTAAAATCACAACTAATACGACATTTTTCTATACTCCCGATGAAAGATGGATGGCAAAAGCTATTTATTGCCTAAAAATATAGATTTTTCGTAATGAATTCGAATTAAGTACTCGTAATAACACGGACTTTGTGATATTTGTGTATTTCAGTATTTGTAGTAACAATTTATATTGAAGCCTGGTTTAAAACAACGTCCGCTGCAGCCATAAAATATCAAGTTTTACTATTTATACTAAAATTGTACAACTATAGTTCAATTGATAATAATAGATCTCGGGTAGCACTGAATAAATATCTAATTTTTACACGAGTAAGTGAGTTAGTAAAAAGAAAGTTCTATTTAAAAAAATTCAATTTTTAAATTTCAGAAATTTACAAACATATATGCTTAGAAATTTCTTGATTATAAAATTTCTGAAATTTTACATCACTAAGCACTTTACACATTCTAATAAATATATATTAATAATAACAATATAACAGATTTAAAGTAGAATTTATGTTGATTTGTTATAACAGATATTGTCATTTGATGTAAATAAAACATAATTTGATTGTATAATATTTATAACAGAATTGATTAGACAAAAATTGAATATACAATTTTTCCGTTTCTTTTTTGTTTACATCAATTAAAATTTACCACTAATTCAGTTAGTATTTCTAATAAAAGATATTATTATTTTATCAACCTAAGTATACACAAAAATTATTTGTATTATTTTATAATTTAATAGAATAGATATCATGAGGGTATTTTAACAATGGCAAACAAACCAATTGAAGGTTTTTCGAATGGTAGAAGTAACCCAACATAATATAAATGTGTGCAAAACTGGCATGACCAGTGGAGATTACTAAACCTAACTTAGAAAACCAATAACATTATAATTTATACTTTTCGATTGAAAATATATAATAATAATAATAATAATTCATATTTAATATTTTGCATTATTGTAATTATTATAATCAATTATCAAATCAATTTATATTATGATTAGATGTGTATGAAGTATAACCTATTTCCAATTGTTTTTTTCCAAAAAATTGTTTGCACCTAAATATAATAATAGAAATAAAAAAAACTTTTTGTTTTAACTAATATTATTTTATTAAAAATATTTTAATATTTCATAACATCAAATGGTGAACTAATGAGAAAGCCGTATTTGTGTATGGGTTTTATTTGATGTGCAGAATGGTAATATGGGGCCAGAACCATGGAGAAGATAGAGGGGAGCGTGTGTGCGTTCACCTCACCGGTAGGTATTGTCGACTTGGACCCACGGGACAAAAGCTGCTATCGCACACACACGGAAACAATATTATTTAAATAACTGCAGCTTAATGTATACAAATTAATATGTAACACTGGTCACTCAACTCTAGTTGTCACAAATAAACTAATGGGCTGACGAACTGTCAACATTCAAAATCATTTTCGAATAAATACAATGATTTTATATTGTTGAATTCAAATTTAACATGTCATCCAATACAGTGACCGCTTGCCAACCATTTTTATTTATTATTTTTTATAAACTATCTCTTAATGTTTAAAACAAATTATGAAAAATTAAAATTGTATCAGCAAATTTAATATTATACTATGATGTAAATTTAATTCATACCCTATTTGAAATGATCGACTATCATTTTTATGGTCTATTTCTTCATTAATTTCTTCTTTGACAATTCCATTCAATACTTGATTATCAATATATTCCTGTTTAATAACAGGAATATCATCACATTTTATTAATGGGATTGACAACATACTAGACCTATGTATTATATCATGATACCTAAAAAAATTATATTTTATCAGTATGTACTACCTAATAGGTTACTTAAGTATAAATTAGATACATTGCACAAATTTAATAATAAATACATAAATTGACAAAACAGCTAGTTTTAATATGTAGGTTAAAAATTAATTTATTAATGACACACTAATTACAATGGTTTTGCTTTACTTTTGCTCACTTTGAATTAATCCCGCAATCATCAGTAGTTATTCTTAATGGTTCCATATTATGTCCTCTCTATTGTTTGTTTTCAATTAAATACTGTGAACATGAACCATAACAACATTAGGTACCTTCAGTGCCGCAATAACCGGGTGTGTTGCATGTGTCAAACACACGGGCCCAGGGCCCCAACACATAATGGGGGGCCCAATGATAAAAATTTAAAAATATATATAGTCTGTTCATTTTAAGAAGCGATTCGGCGGCCACTAGTAAAACCGGTTTTCAAGCGTAAATCAGGTCGCTTCTTATTTTGAACAGGGTATAGAAAGAAATAAAACAAAATAATTTTGTAATAATAATAATAATAGTTATTATTCATACAGATTGAACAATAGATCGGTTTTGTTATGTACACAACATTATCCTACATTATTATTATTATTATCATCATACGTTTCTTATGCGGCCTGTATAACCGAAATTAAAAATAGTTTGGTTGCAACTGATTAAAGCGCGTCATGCAAAGTAACGCGCATTTTGACTGGTTTAGTGTGTGTGTTTACGCGTCTCAATTTATTATTGGTGTCTATTTTTGTTATGCGGGAATCGCCTTTCGTCATGCGGGAAAAACGAGACCGGACTCGATTTTATATTGCACGTTCTAAAGACGGTATCTTCTACGGTCGTCGGTCGGTGTTTGTAGTCTGTCAACAAGATATCCATTTTGTTTACATCTGTGAAAACTTAGTTGCGACTTACGATATTGATTTGAATAATTAAATTTATAAAATAATAATTATATGATTAACTTTTTTAATCGAATGCTCTGACTTCTGATACCTTCTACAATAAATTATGGCACCGAAAGCTCTAAGTGGAGCAGCCAAAAGAAAAAAGAAACATCAACAACAGTGTAATATTTTAAAAACAAATAAGAAGATTAATCATTTTTTTGAATGCAGTCAGTTTAATGATGGTAAGTACAAAATTATTTTATGAATATAATATATTGTTGACCATTAAGGTATTAAATTAGAGATGACTGAAATGTTGTTATTTAACCTATTTATTAACAACTTGACTGCCATAGTAGTATAGTACCTAATACCTATCATGGCCCATTAGATCTCACAGGATTTAAACTCTCTGCTACTAGTTTTTAAAAAACTTTCTTTGATTTTTTAACTTCAAAAATGTACACATGCAATGGTAGCACATAAATGTAGATTTTTTCATTGGCTTTTGTATTTATAATCCATGTGATTCCGTTAGGGTCTCATAGCACAGTAAATTAATATTTTGGTTATTATCAAAATATATATTAAATATGGGTTCCAGATGAAATCTCAAAACAATTCTTTACCTATTTAAAATATAACCATATGCATTTACAAATTTAACCATTAAAAATTAAAATCATGACTAAAGTTAAAGGTGTTATAACAAACATTTTATTTCAGTATTAACATCAATCAATGTGGTTTATAATAAAAAATATTATTATCAAAATTAAAACTTAAAAAAACAATGAGGATTATACCTATAACAATATTAAAATAATTGTAGATATATTGTTTGATATAGTCATATAAAATATTGGTATAGAAAAAGTTCGGTTATCAAGCAGTCACAGTTTTCAAAAAAAACTTTGGCAGCCAAATTCTTTTCAAATTCTATGATTAATCATTATACCTACTTAAGAGGCCGTCACAGTAGAAAAAAATCGACCTAAAAACATGCTTTCGTACTTCCAATAGTTCTCAGGCCTCGTTAATCGTAGAAACATGGTTTTGGTATCAAAATAATCACGAGAAGTTGTACAAAATATTCTTGGAACAGAATTTTAAAATTTTTTTTCTAACCAATTTTATTTGTATCTGAAGTTTGTACTATATTTTCATTTTTTTAAAAAATTATATAAAATCGACAAAATTAGATATCGAAAATCTGTTCCAAGAATATTTAGTACAACTTCTCGTGATTATTTTGATACCAAAATCATGTTTCTACGATCAACGAGGCCTGAGAACTATTGGAAGTACAAAACCATGTTTTGGGCAAAAAAAATACGAATTTGCCGTCGTCATGTGCTGCTAGAACGACTACAGCGGCAGCATTCTGAAATAGTACTTCTACCACTACCCCGCGTACATATGCAGCTGTACCGCACCATAGGTCAAAACTGGTTATTTATCGCAGCCGCGCACGGATTATAAATAGCCAAATACGTCGATAAGAAAATAATAATTCTGTCAATGAATAATATTATTTTATTTTTCGCTGTTATAATTCGTATTCTTATTACTAGCGAAGTGAACTACATAATATTATAATATTATCATAAAATCGTCACCAAATAGCTGGAAAGCGTACGATTTAAACAATTTTTTTTTTCAATTATAGACAATTCTTCTATCAAATTAGCGATTTGATATTCAAGATTTTTTTTAAATTTAAATTAGCGTACCTAATAAAAACCGTCCAAGAAGAAGCAAAACACTTCACTCATGTCATTGTAATTTAGCCCATATTCTTATTGTGCCTCAGGGTACAGATGTATATTTCATATAAAAAATAAAAATAAATAAAAAAATTAGCATAACTGTACAAGTAAAAAAAGGTAGGCAAATGGGTGTCGCTCTACTGTACAGTACTACAGTATGTTATTACAAGTGAGCCATTATACTGAATTGTGTTAAATTAAAATTCGATGATATTATAATATCATTGCTGAAGAAAAACGAATCTGAGCTAAGACAGGAGTCAGCCTATGATAATTATATTTTTAACTACCTACAAAATAATTTTAAATTTTTAAATTTGACAAATTTATTCAAAATTCAAATGTTGAATGAACTTTAATAAAAAACCGAACATGTATTATTAATATTTTTCAATTGCTATTGTAACAATATATCAAACGCCTTGTATTAATTTTTCACGCTTCTCGATCCAACAAATTTAATAACAAATTGACAATAGAAAAAAGGTGGGCAAGTGGGTGTCGCTTTGCTGTACAGTAGGGTACAAGTGGGTCACTTTATAATGGATGGTATTAAATTTGAATTCAATGATATAATATCATTGTATAAGAAAAACGATTCTGAACGGTGACGGTATGTCAGTCTATGTATAAGACATATTATATACATATCTATGGTATTTAACAAAAAATTAACCTATAATAAATTCCAAATTAATCATATCACATTATCACAATATCCATTAGGTCAGCGGTGGAGGGTTCGGTCGGGGGTAGGTGCGACTGGTGGCGGTGGTGGTGTGTGGCGGGTGGTGGGTGGTGTGTGGCGGGTGGCGTTTCGCCTCTATGGACCCACTTACTACTTAGGTACCTATAACGAATTCCAAATTAATCATATCGCAATATCCATTAGATACTTATAACGCGTTATACATCAACAAAAACCGTGATACTAACATAGATATATAATAGTATACTTTAGAAGTTTCAAGTACCCACGAATAATATTATTCAATCACAACAAAATAACTAAAATAGTTATTCTAGGTTTTTTAATATGTAATTTCGTCCAAATTTGAATTTAAAATGTCTGTAAAAAATAAGTGTGTTCATATATTTTTTAGATTTTTTGGTTATAGTATGAACTATTTATGAGAACCTTTGTGTTGAATTTGTAATCCTTAGCTATAAAAACTGAACATTTTATAATTTATTAATTACAATGATTCATAATTTTAGAGATTTTGATCAATTTTGTCAAAATTTGATCTTTAAATGCTTATAAAAAAAAACTGTGCATATGTATTTTTAATATTTTTCAACTGCTATTGTAACAATATATCAGGAGCCTTGTATTAAATTTGTACACTTTTTGGCCCAACAGATATAAAACTTTATTGATATTTATAGAAAAAAAAACTAAAAAAAATTGATAGCCGTAAATGTCCATAAACAGCTCAAAAAGAGTCAAAATATTTTCAAAATTGTATGGTGTATAGGAAATGCTAATATAAACATTCAGTGAAATTTTCATGTATCTACAGTAATTCGTTTTTGAATTACAACAAAATAAGGAAATCGCCACATGAGAATTCGAGTGAATATCCAATGTTGTAAAAATGTGAATTTCAAACGCTCATAAAAATTTAATTTGACTTTCTTATAGAATTTTTTTTTTTTGATAAATGTAGGAAATCTTATAAGGAATCTTGTATTACATTTTCATATCTTAGATTTAAAAAGAAAAATTTTTATGAATTTCTAACTCGAAATAATTTGTAAATTTTCGTGATTTTTCCATATTTTGTCATTTTTTGAATTTTAAATTTATAAAAAAAAAAACTGTGACCAACGATTTTTAATATTTTTCATCTGTCTTTGAAACAATATAGTAGGAGCCTTGTATTAAATTTTCAAGTATTTTTACTCAACAAATAAATTTTTATTGATATTCATAAAAAAAAAACTAATAAAATTGGAAACTGAAAATGTCCCTAAACAGTTCAAAATAAATCAAAATATTTTGAAAATGTTATCGTGTATAGAAAATGCAAATATAAACAACCACTGAAAATTTCATGTATCTACGGTTATTTGTTTTAAAGTTACACCAAAAACCAAAATCGATTTTTGGAAAACCGATTTTGCGTAAAAATTCCCGTTTTTCCTTAATTGTTATGTTGTTTTTCCCGGCGCTCTTGAAAACTACTGGGAAATTTAAATTTTGACTTCCCCAATGCACCAACGATATTCACTTTCCAATCGAACAAGGTACTGAAGTCGAAAATCGAAGCATTATTTCGACTACTTATCGTGTACACAGACACAAAAAAAATAAAAAATAAATAAAATTATAAAAATTAAAAAAATTAAAAAAAAAAACACACATCATTGTAAAATCAATACATTCATCGTTTCACTCAGAATCTAAAATTGTTATGAATTTCTAACATAAAATAATTTGTACATTTTCTTCATTTTTATGTATTTTCTATGTTGCCAAAATTCGAACTTTAAATGCTTGTAAAAAAAAGTGTGACTTTGTATAATTAATATTTTTTAACTACTATTAGGAGCC